TAGCTGTCCCGGCACAGGCAGGGCTGGCAGCGCTCCCCACACCCACGGCGCTCTGGGGCTGAAACTGCTGCCACAAGGCGCAGTGCTGCTTTTGAGATGCGTGGTTTGGGAGGTGGGGAGATACCCGTCTCACTTTGTTTCACCAGATGGGAAAACTGCACCAGAGGGACTGCTTTTTTTTTTTTCTTTCTCTCTTTTTTTTTTTTTTATTGGACAGAAACGTTTCCTGTCTTCTTTGCAAAAATGTATTTTATGGCCATTTTGCTGTGCAGACTTCTCCCTCTCTGGACATTGCACAGAGTAATGCAACACCTTCAATCTGTGGAGCAGATACCTCTTGATATCTTTATCTCAGAACATGCCTTTGTCTCTCTTCGACCTGTTCTTGCTCTTCAGTGAAAACTCACCTTTTTACAAGCTGTCAAACGTAACACTAACAGCTGAGCATTCCTTCGGAAAAAAAAACCATATTTACTTAAAAATCACTTATTATTTATGGCTCCTTGACTTTTTATTAGCCTTTTAACAATGTCTCTCACTTTAACACTAATCCACAGGGAAGGGGGTCTCTCCTGTGCCTGTAGCAGATATATCCAAACAGAGAAGGGGAAAAGAGTTGCTTAATCGCTTCTAGTGTCTCTGATATTTAAGGACATTTTGGAACAAGTAAAAGACCCCACTTCAGTGTGCTCTCTGCTGAAAAAAATACTGTTTCCAAGTTCTGTGGTCTAGCTGGTGATAAGCAGGATTCAAACAAACAGCACAAAAGGCTGCAAATGCAACTGCTTCTACAATGCCATTCCACAGAGGCGGCACCATTTCCCAAGGGACCTCCGTTTAATGAGGAAGAAGTAATCAGGAGAGGAAAGTTTGGCCCTGTGACACAAAGATGGCCCAGGCTTCGAAGCTCTCCTTCACTTTCTTGCCTAAACTCAGTTGAGTAACACCAGCCTGCCCACAGTCTCGCAGACGAAAGGAGGCTAAGTGCAACTGAGAAGTATCCATCCTAAATGGCGCAAGTGGTTACTTTGGCCAAATGCTTGACAGACTGAGAGGAATTTCAGAGAGGCCCAAGGCAGCCACGAGAATGGGTAACAGCTTGGCAAATGTTAAACAGCAGACACGAGATTTGAAAAACACGTTCACTGATTTGCCTCTCAATTTGCTGTAGTGACTCAGGATGGAAATCCGGACATCGCTGTGGATAACACAGTGAAAACCTCTGGTCAAAGGGCAGCAACAGTAAAGGAAGCTAATTAAATATTGGATAGCAAAGGAAAGGGGAGGCAGGCGTGGGAGAAAGATTTACATAAGCTTTGTCATCATGTAGATCAGCGGGATGCCCCTGCCAGGAATAGGATCTCAAAAAGAAAAGAGCAGAAATAAAATGGCTCAGGGAAAAACAACACAAATTGTCAGTGATACAGAGAACACTGATATTTGAAAAGACCATGGCTGCTTTGGGGAGTATGGGATAATCAGAGGGCAAGATGAATAACACAGATGTGTAAAATATAATGGGTGTAATATAAGGTAGATTAGGAACTTCTTGGCCACCCTCATGACTTGTATGAGTAATACATAAACAAGACAAGAGGAAATGGAAAGAAGATCTTAGGAATTTTCTGTACAAGGCATAGTTAACTTGTGGAACGCACTGTCATCAGATGCCATTAAAAGCAAGGTCTTGATGGAATTCAAAGAAAAAATATATATGGATCATTAGAGTTATACTCTTAATGAAGATAATATTTTTGTATTATCACATTTAGAAGCAATGCAAATCTTCATCTCTAAGTCTAAGTACCAGAATGTAGGAAGAAACATAATTAATCTAGAAATGCTTTTTTTTTGATGGTTTTTGCAGCTTCCTCTGAAGTAGCCACTAGCAGCCATAATTTGAGGTTGAATACTGGATACACCTTGGACTGAGCCAGTATGACCATTTCCATGTTTTTACATCTCTCCTGGAGCAGCTTTCTTTCTTGGACAGCTTTTAGTCCTGCTTGCTAGCACCAAGTCTGGAACTGAATTCACAGAATAGAAGTACAGAATATGATACTAAAATATTAAGTAGAACAAATCAAATAATGTTCCTTCCTTTTCTCCATTTTCTTACAGCACCTATGTGAATTGGAATGTCTCATTGACTGTCAGAAAAATATTAAGTCTCCAGATTTTTGAAGATGGGACTTGGGAGCTTTTGAAAACATTACCCACTGTCTAAATAATAATGTGTAATGTATAAACTGTTTCCTCCTCGACCTATTCAAAATAAGAATTGTGACCATTTGTCTGGTTCTTTACATGTGGCAGAGTCAGTTTGACTTTCCCTTCCAATCCAAGTAATTGCTACAGGAAATCTTTATATTTGTGTTCTAATTTTGGGACTTAGATTTGTTTTTAGTGGAACTAGAAAAGAGTACAAGCATGCAATGTAAAATTTCTTTAAAACTACAAAGAGAAAATTTCCACTCTTATTTTTGTTCCCTAACTTTTAATAAGAATAACTTTAATTTAACACATCTGGGCAGCTTGCAGACTATCAGATAGTGCCTGCATATCCGGTGTTCTAAGTACCCTGGACAAACACAGGGACTTAACAAATTAAAAAAAAAAAATCTCAAATTTAATAAAGCCAAGAACAACCACTGACACTCATCAACTATGCTTACAGACCTGCAACACTACTTCTTTGCCTTTCCAAACACCCATCTCTTCTAGGAAAGGGAAAAAGAGTAGGGGGGTTGTACCCTGAAAGAAAATACCTTCAGTAAATTCAAGCAGTTTGAAGCTTAGAAAGAAAATAAGCAGCAAATTTCCAGGACTCTAATACAGTCATTTCTCCCTCAGTACAGATGGAGCTTCAACACCAGTAACTGAAATTTCAGAGGGAAGGAAATTTCTTAACTAGACTCCTTGCCACTTTGGATGAAGCACCTTCTATGTGGGATTGCTGAAGCATGTTACAAACCTGAAAGCAACGATACTTAAAATTGCTGGGACAGGGTGGACTGCTTTGCAGAGAAATATTATTTACATTGTACAGAAAAAGTAAGGCACAATGTCCTGCCCAAGGTTATAGAAGTCTGTCTAGTTCAGGAACAGAAAGCTCTTCTCTAATTCCCATAGGAAGACCACCTTTCCACACTGTATTTAATCTGGCCGGCCCACCTCACACAAGCACCACATTTTTGTCACATTTTGTCCATATCAGTTGTCTTCATGGCCGAGGGACAAAAAAGGGTGTAGACTGCCCTAAAGCACTTTTCCGTCAGCTCTTTTCTTCAGAACAGGATGCCATTTAGACTCATGCATACCATTATCAGAAATAACCTCAGAACTACTTAAATCACCAACAGAGTTTGCAAGTGTTTGGAAGCAAAAATAGGTGCCAGGTATACATTTGAACTTATCCTTCCTTCTCGTTTTTTCCTTATAAACGTTGGTAAATTAGAATATTGTGAAAACTACATAAGGGGACAGCTTTGAGTTTGCTCATCCCTCCCTTCACTGCTCAGCACCCTGCCGTGCCTTCCCTGTGTACCTTGACATGCAAACGCAGGCTTGGTTGCCTCAGATTATTCTGCTATTGATCCTTAAAATGTTTTTCTGCTAAGTAGCACTCCTCCCTGTAATTTTGAGGATGAAAAGCCTTCTAGTCAGTTGATTTTAAAAATGTGTTTCACTTGTTTGAGACCACTTTTTCTGATGTTAAAAAAGCCAACAAACAAAGCCCCCCAATTTACTTAAAACATCACGGACACTTGATGGACACTTAACTTGATATTCCTTTAATTCTAGCCTTTTGTAAGTAGAACTGTTGCTCTTTTAATGGCAAATATTTAAATTAAAATGCCCTGTGATCAAAGTGTGATAACAAATAAATAGGTTCGTGCTTCTTCTTAAACTAAAAAAGAAAAAGTAAAGTTCCTTCCTCTCACTTTCTGTATTTTCCACCCTTTCCTTTTTTTTCCCCGAGCATCCGAAGGTAATAGAGCTTGATAAAAATGCAGCAGGGGCGGGGAAGGGAGGGGGCAGGGGGAAGAGAGGGAAGATAACATTATTCCAGGCCCTTGCTCTGTTTTGTTAGGACAGATTTAATCTTTGGGCAGCATCAGAAGATAGGCCTGAATGACTGCCTGATCATCTCTTCACTCTCTCTTCTTTTATCTGGATTGCTCTCAACTCTTTTCAGGGATGATATCTCACTATTCTTATTTGGTAAATTAGGCTATTGTTTCCCTGTATTTCACTTATTGTAAAATGTTTTCTTTCTTAACTTCAGGCCATTGTTCCTGGGTAGTGAGCATGCTGTCACTGGAGAGGGGATGCGAAGAGGGAAGTATATAATTGGGGACAGATTCTGCCCTATTTTGCTAGTTAGTAGCTTGCTGTCCAGTGCGCTTGATTTCATGGGGGTTTCTAGCAGAAAAAAACATGGATAAAAGGGGTCAAATTCGGCCTTGTAATTGAAGGGAAAATTAGGGAAACATAATTAATATTATGGAATATGGAATAGTCTCAAATGGCAATTTAATTCTGAAGTTAGCAAATACTCAGAATAACAGGCCATGCACTGGATGGTTTTCAAGAGAGCATTTGTTCACAGTCTGATTTATCAGTGCTTCTCGTTGCCTCATGATAAACACTAAAAAAAAGGAGGGAACACAAACACAAATGTCACGGTCATTTTTGTGCCATTTAACAGTGAATCTCAAGGCTAATGGTTGTAGTTCAGAAACAGAAACCTCAGGACAGAATACTAAAATGTGTGGTGCTGGGACTTTGTTTGTTGTCACTGGAATGTATATTTTGGGTGGTTATCTTTTATCTAACTGCGCTTTGAAAATAAAAACCCCCAAACAAAACCCACTGTAACTATGTTTTTCTTGTTCATTCTGAATAAAACGCGCCAGACATTTTGGGAGAGCAGGCTGAGGTGTGGAGGAACCAAGCACGAGCATGAACAACCAAACATCAGCATGTGTGCTAGTGCTTCACAGTGTGCGCAGCCTGAAGGTTGGCACCAGCATCAGCTGAGCTTTGACGAAACCTGAGGGATTCCCGCTCTGCTTGCGACAAGGGCTTGGGTGAAGGTGGTTACAGGCCAGCTCATTAAAGACGATGAGCGCGTGTTGCGCAGTGTTTGATGACTGTTGAGAGAAGGCCAGAGTGAAAGAGCTTACATAAAAGCATTAACAAGGACATAATGCCAGTTGACTCACTCAGCACAACGTTGTCTCTGCACAGAGCATGTGAAGCCACAATTACTGAAGCAAGTGTTGCCGTGTCTTCTGGGAACTGTTGGTAGCCACCAGCTCCGTTAGTTATGTGGTTAATGACCACCTGCCCACAGGCGCTGTGCAGGTGATGGGGGTTTCAGAGGAGGCACATGGAGAGCCCCTCTGGAGAAGGCTACTGCTCTTTTCTGGCTCTCTCCCCTCCATTTTGAGTGGTACCAACGTTTAGATGAGAGGCGCTCATGGAAAATCTCCTTCTTCATGAGGAGGGCTAGGTGCATGAGAGTGGGGTGCCTATAGTAAAAGAGAGGAAGACAGAAGTCGTAACTCCCTTTTCCTATTTAATTGCTCTTTCAAATTGAAGCAGGGAGACCATGGCATTTGATACACTTGTACTGAGTACGCCTCCCACCCTGGAAGCGTTTATTCCGAGCTCAAAAACCCACAATGCTGGGCTAGATGTGTCCCTGGCATAAACATGGGATGCTGGACTCGCTGTCGGTGGGGTATCCTGCTGGACCCCAGCAGTCTGTGCCCGTGGGTGTGGGCGCAGAGCATTTGGGTGGGAGAGGCCCCCCCAGGTCCCCGCGCCGGACGCCCGGGATCGCCTGAGGCGGCCTGCCCTGCGCAAGGCATGGCGCTGGCTCTCCAGTGGGATTTTCACGGACCCCTGTAGGTAAACCGACTGGAGGGACCAAGCAGGTCGAGGGGGGACGGGACGTACGTGAGATCAGCCCCGCCAGAAGCCGGGGCGAGCGTCCCTGCCCGCGGCTCTGAGACAACCCCGCTCCTACCAGTGCCCCCCGTCGCACTCCTCCGCTGCAGCGTGACCTGCGCTTCCCCAGCCCGGAGGTCCCACGGACCCGCTTATCTTTTAATTATTCTCCTTTTTTTTCCCACTTAAGAGCGAGAGAAGGGCTGACAGCGC